TGCTCTGAACTTCTCTTTCGAAAACTATGTGGGATCCTCCTCAATAGTTTTTTTTTAAATCAACACTTTGGATACTTTTAAATTTTACTGAAAATTCCAGGGTTTGTTCGCAAGATTCTATTGATTGTTCTGTAATTTGTTTTAACTCTTAAAATACTTCCAAGTCTCAGAACCTTGACAATTATGACTGCACGACTATTTAATAAATATGATATTTTTTTTTTCAAATCTGTGATCTTGGAAAATTTTTAAAATCTCGCATTTTAACTATTTTTTTCTCTAAATCTTGCATCACGAAGATTGTTATTAATCCCAAATTTTGAAGAAAAGTTCTATTTTCAGACCCTACACAAATTTCAAAGCCCCAGAATCTTGGGAATCTATATTTTTAGTAAATAATCTTTCAGTGAATACACATCTTCTCTATCCGATATCACTATCAATTTGCTCTAATTCTCATATGTACCAAGTTCATTTTTCTGAAACATTTATTAAATTCAGTCTCTTATTCTTCACAATTCACCTATTATATAACCTATTCATCCAGATAGCATTTGGCCCAGTGACCTTAATCTCTGTCACTCAATAAATTCTAGGGCTTAAACTATCGATCATAAAAAGTGGTAGAATTCGATTTATCAAAGTATCTCGAAAGATCAATAAATCGTTTTGAATACATTAAGTGACTCGTAGAGTTGAATTTTTCCTATAGCTTTAGAAAACACTTTCTGTAATTTGGCTTTCATTTTTCCCACAAATAACCACTGAAAATTTACAGTTGGCCACGTTTTAAAAAATGCGTACGATTTCGTTTTTTGTTGAATATCAACAACCGGAAAATTTTTAAGATTTGAACCGGGAAAAACCGGGAAAAAAACCGGGAATTTCAAAATGAAAAGTCACTGGCCACCCTGGATTTTGAAGAAAATCTCTATTGTCGTTTTCTCATCCAGTGATAGTGAAAGAAGTATCTCTGTAGAAATCGCGTGAGGTCTTTCATTGCGAATGACATTTACTAGCCCTGGCTAGGTCGTTGAGAACATAAAGTTCACTTTTCCCATAGTAATTCCCATACAAACTTCAAAGGGACAGTGCAGTATGAGTTCGCATCCAAGTAAACTCAAATTTTGGGAGAATTATCAGAACCTGATTTAGAATCAATTGAGTATGGTGAAGCAAACTCGATATTTGGAACCACTCTAATGAATTAATTAATTTATCTTTATTAGGGAGGCTTTAACCACTCTAATGTATAGTCGTAAATTATTAAGGCAAAAGGCTAGGACGAGGAGAACAAAAACCTTTGCTTTTCCCATAGTAAATTCCATATAACCTTCAAAGGGCCAGTGCACAGGGCTGGTAGAAGGTCACTTATTAGTGACTTGGTCACTATTTTGAAGTTAGTCACTAAAAAGTCTCTAAAGTTACTATTTCTCTAACAATAGTCGCTAAGGCCATTTTTTCACAACCAAAATAGAGTGAAATTGAAAATATCAACAAAATGTTTAAATTGACTACGTGTAGAATATGCATATCTGTTTAAAAATTAAAATTATAACCTGGGCGGCCAGTGAACCGCAAACATTTAAGAAACTTTAAAAAGAAACCAGGAAAAATACTGCTAAATGCCTTCAATTTCGATTACGAATCGGGAAAATATACCTCCTTTCTCCGAAAATAAACTCTAAACCTTGGAAACTTTTAAATGGTATTTGTCTGTGCTAGATCTTCAGAAGTCTTTTAAAGAAATTCTAGGGATGGCAGCAAGTTAGTTCAGAAAATAATACCAAAGTACAGGCTACGGAAGTCTCATGTAAAATTATGTGCTCTGAGGGCCGATTTCTTCACCTCCGCTCGACATCTTAAATCAGATTTACCAATATAGTTAAACCTGTTTCAAGGCTTAAGCGAAGTTGAAAACACTGGCTCTGAGAGTACCACATACAAGCTCTGCTTTTGATTATTGTTTAAATTATTAAAGACGCAAAATTCTGCTCCGAAACAAATATAGTTCCAATATAATTGAGAGCTGTTGTATGTGTATTATAACGAAGAATTCTATCATGAGTGGATGAGGATTCTATGTCCAATTCTAATAAGAATTAAAAATAGGTTCTGATTTTTTTTTTTTTTGAGGAAGCTCTGAGAGATGATAGCTCTAAAAGAATTCTGAGGTGATTTCTGACGATATTTACAAGAGAACTCTAAAGAGTTCGAAATAAATTGCGAGAAGAATTCCAATGGAATCGAATTTGGAGGGTTCAATCTCAAAGGAACTCTGAGAAGAGTTTCAATAGTATTCTGAGATGAATTTTGGTTTTGAGAGTTCTGAGAAAATACCATGAGAATTCTGAGGAAAATACGAATTGAACTCCAATAGAATTCAGGGAAGAGCTCCAAGATTATTCTAAGTAAAAATTTATTAAATTTCTGTGGTTAATTGCATGAGAATTCTAAGGAGAATTCAAGTAAATTTAAAATGGATTTATGGAATGAACCTTTAAGGAATTCCTGGAAGAATCATTAAAAAAACCAAAAATACCCTACTTTAACTTACCATGTTTAATTACTTCATGGGTGAAGTTATCGATATCAGACTTAAAGTGACATTTTTTACGATGGATGAGCAGATTAAATTATAAAGTTCATAGTTCCGTTATAGTAAGGTAGTGTAAAAATTGTATATAGAAAGTAGAAAACGAGTAAATGACAATTTTGAGGTGAGAAATCGGGTAGATACATATCAGATGGCAACTTGAGTGTGAACCAGTCGATAAAACAGTTTCCGCACATCGGCGATCATCCGTTTTGCAAGTGGTGGTGGGGGAAATACCCCTCACCATCTATCGACGGGTGAGTTTGGTAAAAGGAATGCTCGATCCGATTCGTGTCTTCAACAAAATTGACCTTTGCTCGCATTCTACTTTCTATATACAATTCCGTACTCTAACGGAGCTATCAACTCTATACCTTTACTTACTCTCCACAACTATCGTATAAAATGTCCACTTTAAGTCTGATATTTTACGTTTAACTACGAACATAATCTATTTACAAGAATTTTGTTAATTGTTCTGCAAAGGATTTCAAGAATGAAATATTATTTTTGTTAAGCTTATTTTAGAGGCAAGTTTAAGAGAGGGGAAATGATTCTAAAAAAAGTTCTTGAGATCATTCTGAAGAAATTTTGTGAAAAAATCTTAGCGAATTATCAAAGTTATCTTACTCTAATTTTTAATATTTCGAACATAGCATCAAATTCAAGATCTCCGAAAACAATAAATGCTGTCGTTGTAATGATCTATTTAACCCTATTTAAGCTAGCGGCTTCATTGGTTTATACAGTTATTTAAACGTATATCGAACAACCAGTAAAATTTAAAAAAAAATCTAGGAAAATCCGGAAATTGCTACTTGTTAGTCATCATGTATAACGTAATCAAAAGGAAATTATTCAAATCATTTCAAATGTTCTTTATAGGAAATTCATTTGTGAGATTCGATATAATTAGAAGAATTTATGTCATTTTAAGTTGCATGACATAAAAAATTAATTTCAATATCAATTCAAATGTCACTATTGGTTACTTATTTATTATTTAAAAGTCACTACTATATATCGCCTCAGCACTACCAGCCCTGAGTGCAGTATGAATTTACAATCCAATGAGCTCAAATTTTAGGAGAATGATCAGGACCTGCTTAAGAATCGATTGAGCCTGGTGGAGGAAGCGTCATATATTTCTCATCTTTCAAAAAAATTTCACCGGATGGCATTCAACCGTTTAAACAAGTAGCTCTTACGTAACGCACTGTACACTACCTCACGCTACATGGAAATTAGTTGCATTAATTCGAATTTCTATTTATTACAGAATAAGAATTATCGCTAATGTCGCACCATTCCTTTTATGTGACTTTTCGTATTCCCAACACGTATCTTACGCGTACCACAATAAATCACTTCTATTATACCACGTGTTGAGAAGTAAGTGGAGTGGTATATACATAAATATTTAGTGCCATTAGTGGAAACACAAAAACCCCTCACAACAAAGCTACCTTCTAAAGCATTTCCACTAGGGTGCATCATTTTGAAAAAAAAAAATGTAGATTTCTTATAGGCCACCCTTCAGTTTGATTAATAATTCCAAAACATGAGTCTAAGGAGTGATGAAGGTTCAGAGATCGCGCAAATGGTTTGAAGTTTAAATGGAGATTTTGGCGAACTCAGATATATTACCAAATATTTTTAAACATTTCATAATGCATCACCGGAAAAATTAATGCATTTTCGAATATGTTCGTTTTTAGGGCTTTTCTAAGTAAGGGTAACTATAAAAAAAATATTTAGATATATTTACCCCAATTGTCGCACCCCTAGGGAAATCATTGAATTTATCGCTCTTATTTAGAATCTAGTTGTCCAAACGCCAAAACAATTAAAATGTGCTTATAAGAAATCTAACACTTTTTTTTTTCAAAATGAAGCACCCTAATGTACACAGGTAAGTAATAAGTATGTTTGTAAACGGAAGAATCAACCTGCCTCCCGGTGAGTGGCCCTGAGTAAAAGGTACGGTGGATATCGATTTTCAGTGGCGGCCTTTTCGCTCAATCCGGTCTGCCGGAGGAAGTTTGACACGTTTGTGTTCTGAAGGCTAGATTAAGGACGTAGGGTAGAGCGCTACTTCGTCGTAATCGCCCATTTCCGTTCTATCGATCAGAAAAGATCAATAATATCAATGATTTCACCGTGCACAAATCAATAATAGGTTTATTCCGATGCGTTAGTTCATTAGCTACAACATAAATCCTATTAGAGCGCATTGTATGAATATGTACGCTCATTGTTCTCAAAACAAAAGAAACGCTCCTAGCGAATCCCCCTTTTCTACGTTTATCCGTAGGACGAAGAAAATCTAATGGCGTTCCAATTCGTTAGGACGGAATTGAAACTCGTAGGACGAATTTAGAATCAAGAAGCAGTATTGGATTTTGGACAATATCTCAACCATTTGTGACTCTTTATAGGTAAATAAATTCAGAAGTCATCTTTGACAGAAAAATTCATTTTTTTTATCAAATCCGTTCAAAAAAGAGAGGTAAATCGTGGGTTGTGCTTAGTAGGACGGAAATTAGATCAAAAACCCTATAGCAACTTTTGCCGATATTTCACACTACAATGAAAACGACACCTATCTGTTGTAGCTATGCGTTTATTTAAAACATGCTTTTCTATCTGTCAGCAGCCCAACGTGGACGAACACAGTCTACTCTTCATTTTCGAAGGGATGATGCGGATGGCCGTGGGCTCCCGATTCCGGATTAATACGTCCGTTGCATTCCAGCGTAGCAAGCTGCTCCAGATCGCCGTCGTCCAGTTTGAAATCGAACACATCAATGTTGGAAGCGATCCTAGCTTTGGTGACCGACTTTGGAATCACCACGTGCCCCTGCTGAATCTGGTAACGAATCAGCACCTGGGCCGGTTGTTTTCCGTGTTTCTCCGCGATCGCCTTCAGTTTTGGATCCTGGAGAAGTACGACATCATCTTTCTTGACCCAAGGCCTTGCTGGCGAACCGAGTGGACTGTAAGCGGTGATCTTCAGTCCCTTCTCGGTACAGAAAGCAGCCAGCTTGGCTTGATGCAGGAAGGGGTGGTTTTCGATCTGATTGCAGACCGGCTTGATACGAGCCACGTCCAGCACGCGTTGAACTTGTTTGGCATTGAAATTCGATACGCCAATGTTCTTCGTGAGCCCCGAATCGGCCAACTTTTCCATTGCCTTCCAAGTGTCCACGTAGTCAACGTCGGAGAAGATGTACGTCTTCCCATCGGGCCGCATCGGGAAGAGCTCGTCGCCTTCTTTGTACGCCACAGGCCAGTGAATCAAGTACAGATCCAGGTAGTCCAGTTTGAGATTCTTCAACGAGGCTTTCAGGCCAGCTTCCACCAAGTCCGGACGATGGAATGTGTTCCACAGTTTGCTGGTTACGAACACGTCCTCTCTGAAATTGACGAGCACATGTTAGTTAGCATCTATTGGGAAACTTGACGTCTGCGGATTGCCGTGTACCTTTTGATCGTTCCGTCTTGGATTTTGGTTGCAATGCCATCACCCACTTCATGCTCATTTTCGTACACGAGAGCACAATCGATGTGCCGGTAGCCGATGTCGATGGCATCCTTCACAGCTTGGGCCACTTTACCGGGAGGGGACTGGAATGGGAATTTAAATTAATTGATGGGCAGGCAACGGCATTTGTCGGGTTTCATTGTTACAATAATTTTCTGCTAAGGGGTTGTTCATAAACTAGGTACCTAGATCGTTTTTGAGAGCTTTTAAATTGAATGAACACGATAAAAGTGGATCGACGACAATTACTTCACAAAATATAAACTGATCGACAACACAAATGCTACGCGGGTCCGTCCGCCATATTTGCTTTTCGTTACTTATTAAAATTTACACGAGCATGTCAATTTATACGTTTGGTCGTTGAAAAACTAATGTTCTTCGGTAAGTTTTTTTTACGCTGCATAGCGAAAATACACTCCGATTGAGAATTAATAAGCATGCTCTTTTTATGCGCACTATTTTTAATTTAATATTCAATTAAATCACTGTAATTTTACAATGCTGCCAGCTTAAATGACGTGTAAAATCCTTTGATTTTTTTCTGTGAGATAGATTTATATTAGAGCGACGCGTCTATTAATGATATTTCAAGCTAACGGCTAATGTTAATTGCTTCTTTTCACGTGATGATCGTGTGCACCTTGACCGTGAAACCTTACTTTTCTTCCTTCCTTTTGCACGCCCTTCTTTCGGAATGGAAAGTTTGGTCACGTGCAAAGAATAAATTTATAAAACAATGTTACATAAGTCTAACAATTGTGAACAATTCTACCGCCAATAAATGAGTAAATTACTGTACTTTGTACTTAGCTTAAAACCGATCTATTAATTTACGTTATGCTTCATAGATTACAAACTAGAAAGCAAAGTGCCACGTACACGCAACGAATTAAACATTGTACAACATATTGCAAACCAACAGAACACCCTCCAAAACTTACATTCCACGTTCCGAGTCCCAGCGCCGGAATGCTGTTACCATTGTTGAAGACAACGCGGGGAACCTTGGACGCCATTGCTCTACAAAAATGTCCGGGAATATCGCTGATTGATAGAATGCACTTTCGGCCTCGACGGTAGCTCAGAACAAACTGATACGATTGGGGTGCAACGACGAGGGAAGCTTTATTTGTGCGTAAGCTAACCAATTTTCAGCTGCAAGAACAAGGCGTCAGTTGGAAGATTAGGCGAACCGGCATAGAAGAAGAGGTGGAAAGAAGGCTAAAACGTTCGGTTGGAGTTTATTTCTTCATAGAAAATTAGAAGTGCTTAACTATCTTCCCTGGGCATAGAATAGCCGCAGACAAACACAGGGCTGGTAGCGAGTCACTTTTTAGTGACTTGGTCACTTTTATCAAGTCAGTCACAAAAAAGTCTCTTTTTTTAGATCAAGTCACTAGAGTCACTTTTTCTTGTAATAAGTCACTTTTTTCAACTTTTCTAGCGTGAATTTATTTCAACTTTGATTATTCTTTGCGTTGTGACGTTTAATCGCCTTTCTCTAAATACAGGTTGTCTACTCATTTTTCTGGATAAAATTACCTGAGTTTTCCAAGTAAGAAAGTCCAAGATCTAAAAATATTCAATGTCTTGAAGTTTCGTATTCCATGTACAAGTTCAAGATATTGAAAATATTCAAAGTGCCAGAATAAGTAAAAAAATAAATGATTTATTTCAAGTTCGTAATTAACTTGATGCAAGATTCAATGCAGTCCCATTAACGTTACAACAATTGAAGGAAATTTGGAGAAATTCTGAGGAATGAAAGAATTTCAGTGAAGCTCTATAAACAAACTGCAAGAACGTAAGGGAAGTACGCTGAAAATATGAGAAATTTACTGGAAGCTGTAAGAACCTCAAAGCGGTTCTTTTAGCATCCGACACTTTTCAGGAACTTTTATGAACTTCCTAGAATTTCAGAGAACTTCACAGGTGTCAAGCAAACTTGAGAAATTTAGAAAACTTGAGAGGTATTGCGCAAATTTTTAAGAAGTTCTATGTACCTCAGAAAAGTTAGATAGATTAAAACTCTATAATCGTAAATTTAGATATATTCAAGATAGTTCCATGGTGTGCTGAAAAACAAATCGAATTTCAGGGAAGTACTAGGACCTTCAGAGAATTTATGAAAACTTCAGCAATATTTCAGAAACTTCACAGAAGTCCAGAGAATTTCAGGAAAATTTAATGGTGTTTACAGGAATTCTATTTATTTCCGAGCAAAACCGAGATCTTCAATAGGACTAAGAGTTTTATGGATTAGGTCAGAGAATCAAAGGGCAGTTCAAATAATTTCAAGGAAATATTACAAATATTTAAAAGTTTCAAGAAACTCAGTAAATTTCCGGAAACTTCAGCAAAGCTCCGAGAGAATTCCTGGAAATTTTATGAACATCCGGAAAACGTGAGTGTATTTTAGAGGTGTTATATCATGGAGATTTCAAGAACTCAAAAAAATTCGAAAATTTAGCGCCTTCTCTTAGGTCGCTTTTTAGTCACTATTTTTACAATTATAAGTCACTTATTCATTCAACATGGTCACTAAAATCACTATTTCTGACAGTAGTGATCGCTACCAGCCCTGCAAACAGGCATAGCATTCCATTCGCATGTTGTTCATCAAACACGCATCGAACGATCAATTTAAATTCTTTTTAGTTGTACGTCACACTACCGCCATCTGTTTAGCATGACAGTGTACTAAACAGTCAGTCCGCATCGTGTTCTCTTGCCATGCGGATCTATTTGCTTTTTGCTGAAGGAAGTGCACTTTTCAGTGCTCAACCTGTAAAATTTCTACCTTGTTCAACTCTTAATCCTCTTCGATCCTTGTTTGGACCCTACCCGAGGTAATCCTTCTTGGATATTGATTTGGAAAATTCCTCTTCGATCCTTCAGATTCTTATAGTAATCTGCTTGGAAGTCGATTTGGATAAAAATTTACTACCGCCATGGCGCCTAAATGCAAAAGAAAGAGGCAAACTCTTGATCCCCCTTCTGATGAAATTAATTTAAGTAATCAATTTGCTCACGGATGATGAAAATGATCCATCATCCAAGAAAAATTCTAGTAAACTTTCCCGGCTTAATGCCAAGAAGGAAAAGATTCCCCCTATTGTGATAACCACTTCCGATTATCATGCTCTTCGCATGGAACTTTTGAACTTCGGGAAAGTTAAGTTTTCACTACAAATTGGACGTCGGGGTGAATGCCGTGTATTAGCTGAGACCTTGGACGGATTTAAATGTATCTTACTGAGAAGCAGTATAAATTTTTTACTTACGACACCAAAACTGAACGTGTGTTAAAGGTTGTCATGAAAGGACTGCCCAGTGGTGAATCCCTGGAACAGATCAAAGATGAACTGGCAAAATTACTTGGAGTTGTGCCACTCTAAGTAATCAAAATAAAAATGAAATCCCGTCCTGGCGATTCGCGCAACGGGATTTCTAATGATTTTTATTTAGTAAACTTCAAGCCTAGTGAACTAAAAAACCTTAAGGCCTTAGAAAAAGCTAGCCTTATGCTCCATGTCCGAGTGAAGTGGGAACAGTTCAGGAAGACTGGAGGAAATTTCCAAAACCTCACTCAGTGCCGTAAGGGCCAGGGATGGGGTCACGGAACTAAAAATTGCTACATGCCAGCTAAATGCATGAATTGTGGTGGTTCCTCTCACGCAAAGGACGATTGTCCTGTGAAGGAAGATCCTAAGAAATTTAAATATTCAAATTGTGGTGAAAACCACAAATCCAATTTTTGGGAATGTAAGACTCGCAAAGCGATCCTACAATCTCGTTCTAAGCGACAGGTAGGAAACGCTCCACGTTTCAGACCAGGTTCAAATTCCTCTGCTGTTATAAACGGTCAGCGAGAAACAAATTCTACATTCGTACCCGTAGGTACAAATATCACCCCTGCTTCAAATTTTTCATCTATACCTACTCCCCTCGCTGCTAACAATGTTCAGCGAGTTAATGGAGCTACCTATGCTGCTATTGCAACGGGTAGAAATCAAAATACTAACCAACGTAATTCTAACGGAAATTTTGACAATTTTCACTTAGGAAGCATTACTGCCCCTTAAATGGAATTTTTACAGAAATCATTAATTGACATGATTTCTGATATGCTTAAATCTAACTCCATGTTTGATGCTATTCAAACTGGAGTAAAATTTGCAAATAATATTATTATGATTTTAATATTCAGTAATGGATTTTAAACCCTCCCCTTGGCTAGTTTTTTAACCTGGACGTTGGTGGGCGGGCCTAATCTTATGCTTCATAGTGGAGCGTTGGAGACGGTTGGTTTAGGTCCGGCATCGTTGGCTCATGGCGTAACAGAATAGCGTCATGAGCATGCGATGAGTATTACTGAGCTTCCCCTCTCTGATGAACCATTGCATAAGAGAACCAAAGTTCTAGCCTGAAGTGATAGTATCACACTTGTTACTCCTTTATTTGAAAGCCGCGTTTTAGTACGCTTACGTATAGGCACTGACGTTGGGTGCGATACTGGCGGGTTTTGCCGCAAATCACTCTTATTTTGTTTATTTTTTCGCAGATAGATTTATTTGGGTTTGCAAGGGAATTATACTATTGAAATATTTCAGAGAGTGCCCAACAGTGCTCCTTCTACTTGCGTGCCAAGCTTTCGTTGTTGTTTTCATTGAGGTATTACTCAGGGAACAATGTTAAACACCATTTTTATACATGGTATTGCAACTAATCTTATATGTGCTTCATTTTGATTTGGGATAAGTGTTTGAACTATGGCTCGGGATTTCCACTGTGGCGTGCTTCTATTGTGACATAACCATACGTTTTTTTGTTGTGCGACATAGTGGAAACGTGTGAGCGTAGTTGAAGCATATACCCTATGTAATTTAAAAATCAGCTAGGAAACTAACTTCAAAGTGAAGCATTTTAGTCACTTGAAGGTGTCACCTGGGACGAACTAATATATATTAAATATAGGTCAAAGTCAAAAACAACTTGAAACACGTTAAATTTTAGATTACATTCACAAGTGCAGGTACTTAATAAAGCATGGTAGGTAGATTAGAGATTTCAATTATTTATTAAATTAGACTAGAGATATCATAATCATCAAACGAACTTAAATAAGAAAATTTAGACAGCAGTAGCAGTAGCAGTAGCATTAAGTGGATTAACAGAAGAGTTAGGATGCGGAGGGTCCGCTTAGGGAGGCAACTAGCCTTTAAAGCAATTGGCAACTAGCCTTTTCATATATTGTCTGTTTATTTTGATGGTTGCTTTAAAATATCAATTTGGTATATATGTGAAAGGATGAATCAGTGGGAGATGGATTTTCGGTTTCTTTACATTTAGCATCACTATGTGTCATTTCCTCAAAACCACCCAATAACCGGCCTCTTCAATCCCTTCCTTTTCCCATGGCGTTCAAGTGGTCCGCATAGACTATTCAGCCATTACCCGTCCTTTATCCTCGGCTTTGGATTGACTTGCGCTCCCATTGCCCCACCAAACGCTGCAAAATGAAAATGAAAATGAAAATATTCAGTAATGGATTTTAAAGCTTTAAATATTTTAAATTGGAATGCTCGATCCCTTAAAGATAATGAAGACGAGCTATTTAACTTTTGGAGAGTTCATAACGTGCATATTGCCGTTATAACTGAAACGTTCCTTAAACCTGACCATAAGGTTAAGAAGGACGCATTTCATTTATAGAAATGATCGTCTTGATGGACCCTGTGGTGGCGTTGCCATCATTGTTCATAGACGAATCAAACATAACATTCTTTCTTCATTTGAAACCAAAGTTTTTGAAACTTTGGGAGTTTCTGTTGAAACAAAATTTGGACAACTTACGTTTATAGCTGCCTACTTGCCATTCCAATGCGTAGGCCAGCAAAAGAATTTTCTCAAGGGTGACCTTCAGAAACTTACCCGTCATAGGTCTAAATTCTTTATTATTGGTGATGCAAAACACCGCTCATGGAATAATACTCAAAGCAATTCCAGTGGTAATATTCTGTTTGATGATTGTTCTGCAGGTTATTACAATATTCAATATCCAAACAGTCCAACATGCTTTTCTTCTGCAAAAAATCCCTCAACTATTGATTTGGTCTTAACTGATTCATGTCAACTTTGTAGCCAATTGGTTTCCCATGCTGACTTCGGTTCTGATCACCTTCCAGTAACTTTTGAAATATCCCAAGAAATAATTTGTAATCCCAACAGCTCTATTTTCACTTACCATAGAGCTGATTGGGAGTAATATCGAACATTTATGCAATATATTTTCGATCCAAACATTCCTTTGCAAACCAAAGATGAAATTAATTATGCTCTTGAATCTCTGACTACTTCTATAGTTGAAGCAAGAGGTTAAATTCGATTCAGTTATAATAGACGATGATCTTCAGCTCTTGATCCGTCTTAAAAATGTCCGTAGGAGACAATTTCAAAGAACACGCGATCCTGCCATGAAAGTTATCTGGCGGGATTTGCAAATACAAATTAAAAAGCGATTCTCTGCACTGAGGAATAAAAGTTTTGAAAATAATGTTTCTAAATTCGACCCGAGTTCCAAACCCTTTTGGAAACTCACTAAAATTTTGAAAAAAAAACTCAAAAGCCTATTCCAGCGCTTAAAGAAAGTGGTAAAATTTTGATCACAAATTTGGAAAAAGCTCAGAAACTTGCTAAGCAATTCGAGAGTTCCCATAATTTCAGTTTGGGTCTTACTAGTCCTATTGAGAATCAGGTTGCTCGGGATTTTCTGAATATTTTCTCTCGGGAAAATATTTTTGATGATTCCTGG